GAAGCATTTGGACAATGCTCTCAGGCACATGGTGTGACTCTTGTGGTGTCCTGCGCAGGGCCAGGAGTTGGACTCTGATCCTGATGGATCCCTTCCAACTCAACATATTCCAAGCGGCTGCTCAGGGTTTCCCGCTGCACTCTGACCACTTCTGGAGCCATTTGTTGTCTTGGGATGGTCAGGGCCAGTCCCCTGGGACAGGGTGAGCCGGGGGGTGCAGCTGTCTCTCCAGACCTGCATTTCCCTACCAGGTGCAGGGCAGGTGTAGGTGCTACCTGGAGCTTTAGCTTGAGGTGTGCTACCTTCATTGCTCATTACAAAGAAGTGTTAGTACAGGGAGAGGCCACACAACGTATCTTTGTGAAGGAGCCACTGGCACATGAGAGCAAATAATGAGAATCTTCTGCAATACCTCAGTAAGTTGTTTCTGCAAGTAACATTTTCTCTTTAACATTGGTATCAAGCCATGCATTTATGTTATTTCAGCAGCTTTCTCAGGTTGGAGCCTGATAGAGAAGTTCATCATATGTGGCACACAGAACTGTAGCTGAGACCAAGGAGTGAAGCTCCTACTCAGAGCACAGAACTGTAACTACTTCTGCAGTTCTTTGGCTGTATGTTATGTTGGCTCCCACAGAACAGCATCTGGTCTAAGATCTCTGGCAAGGTTTGCAATGCCTTCCATAAAATGCCCCATGGTTTCTTGAAAAATGCTTTCTCCACGTCTGCAGCAGTATTACCTTTCAGCATAGCCTGCCCCTGGATCAGCAAAACTGTTTCCTGTGGTAGGAAATTTATGTACAAGGGATTATAGACTGTAACAAATGCTGCACCCAGAGTTAAGAGTGTGTGCTAAGGATTGTTGCTTCTTCAGGCTTCTTGCAGTGGCCCTCAGACTTACCAGTTACCATGTTCTGATACATTCAGAAAAGACTTTATGCAAATCTGTGATGGCTTTCAGTCACAGGGAGGGCAAGAGTTATTTCTGGCTTTCTAACAGTGCTTGTTCAATGAGTGCAGTGCTGAGCCCAACGTAAATCACAGGGAGCAAAACAGAAACATAAAGAGCTGAGAATATCTGAGCTATGTTGGTACTGAAGAGTTAACATGAAGAAAACTTTTTTCCCCCCCTGGTTCTGCTCTGATCTCTGTGTTTTTGGTCAAGTAGCAGGGTTTTGTGGTGGGTTTTTTTAGGTAGTGGATGACAGTTAACATCAGGATTTTTTCATTGATTCTTTAGCTCTGTCAACTTCCTTGGATATTGGGCTGAGTAACTGGAGCTTCCTGTATGTCACTGTCTCCCTGTGAGTAGAAACATCACGTTGCCTGGGTTTGAAAAGTGCTTTGTCAGGCTCTGTTTCTTGAATAGGTGTTTGACTCAGTGGGGTCAGCACACAGGGTCTGTGATAGCTTATTGGTAGCAATGTAGAAGTGGGTGATTGATTTCTAATAGTATTTTGATGGGAAAGACTACACTGGAGGGGACTGACAGTGTATTTTGGTTCTTACAGCTACACGATGACCAAATCCTCTGCTATTCTCTTCATCCTGCTTTTTTCACTGCTCTTCAAGCTGGAGGAAATGGTAAGGGTGCCACACAATGCTTTAGGGAGGGAGAAGGTCAGGCCCAGGGAAATAGGCAGTACATGCACAGGAAACATGTAAGTAGAGGGAGAATGCAGTTCTGTGGATGAATCTGAAAAGCAAGAGGTTGTGTGTCTCTGTTGTGTTTGATCTCACGCAGAGAGTGACGTTGCTCCTGGTGGTTCTGCTCATTGCTGGGGGACTCTTCATGTTCACCTACAAGTCCACCCAGTTCAACGCACAGGGGTTCATCCTGGTGCTCTGTGCCTCTTTCCTTGGGGGCATCCGCTGGACTCTCACACAGATACTTATGCAGAAGGCTGAGCTGGGTACGTAGGGTGTTAGGAAAGGGGGTGGTGGTGCTGGTAATGGGGAGGGGAATAAGGAGGTGGTAGCCCTCGCTGCAGAAACAAAGCATCTCCTGTAAGGGAAGGTGTTTGAAACCTGGGGCAGGGGTTATCTGTCGATGGGTGATGAAGGTGGCTTGGTATCTGCAGCAGCACAGGTGTGGGCATCACAAACAAGGTGTGTGTCTAGGAATGGTGCTAATAAAGGCTCTGGGAGCTATTTTATTCCCTGGCTTGTTGCTACCTGGTCTGTTATTGATTCTCCTCTTTCAGGGCTCCAGAATCCCATTGATATCATGTTTCACCTGCAGCCGCTCATGTTCCTGGGGCTCTTCCCACTCTTTGCGGTGTTTGAGGGTGCGTGAGTTAATTAGAGAAAGCAGGGATAGCTTTATAGAGTGGTTGGGGAGACTGCTTAGCAGTTTGGTGTTTTGAGATGATTCATTTAGATAAGTCAACAGCTGTGAACTTTACAAAGCAGTTAGAGATCTGGAATTACCTTATGCTGGCAAATCATTAAAGAGTGCGTAGGAATAGTAGCCTGCCACACTTGTGGAAATAAGGGCTGTGAAGAACTGGCTCCACATCCTCCTGATACTGGAATGTGAGCAGCCCACCCCCATCCATCTTGTTGAAAGGAATTCTGGGAGTTGGGGAAGGTATTCTGCTACTCACTGTCTTGTTCCTAGGCCTGCCTTTGTCCATATCAGAGAAGCTCTTCCGTTTCCATGAAGCAGGAATGCTGTTCTCTCTGGTAGGGAAGCTGTTCTTGGGTGGAATTCTTGCCTTTGGTCTAGGCTTTTCTGAGTTCCTCTTGGTTTCCAGAACATCTAGCCTCACCCTTTCCATTGCTGGCATTTTTAAGGTAAGGCATGGTTCCTGTGCTAATACTAGAAGGCAAGTACTGAGTCATCCCTATTGGGCCTTATGTGATGGGAACTTCCTTTAGATCCTTAGAAATGATTGTTATTTTTGTTCTCCTCGCACAGGAGCTTGATGCTTTGCCTTTCAGTCTCTACAGTGAAGTCCCTGACAGCAAAGGGAGACTAGTGGCTGTTCTATAAAAAATACCATTAGTGACCAAAGTCTCTTGTGATGTGGGATAGACTAAAACACGTGGGCCTCATGAGCAGTGGATGGTGCGGAAGGGAGGAGGGGTGAGACGGGCAAGCTCTTGCATCAGACCTGTATGTGAACAAACCATTGGTTTGAGCTATCTCTGTAATCTAGTTTGGCACATCCTCCCCTCCTGCTGGGAGTCCAGCACACATACTTTGAGCTGAACTCTGACATGTGAAATCTGTCTGGTCCAGAAGTTGGAAGATTCCTCTGTAACCAAGCCATGCAGTCAGATGACTTAAAATCCCACATCCCAGTTTGACAGGTTGTTTGTTCCCAAGAACTGTTTTTAGAACTCCGTGCGCATGAAAGAATGTGCTGATGGAAATTTAGCAGCCTGGCATCTTGATCTGGGCTGCAGCTGTAAAACATCTCGTGCATATCTCCTCAGGTCCTGCCCTGCCACTTGTCATGTTTTTTTGTTTCCACAGGAAATCTGCATTTTATTCCTCGCCACACATTTGCTGGGAGACCGCCTCAGTCTCTTGAACTGGCTGGGCTTTGCTGTCTGCCTGTCGGGAATCTCCCTTCATGTCGTTCTCAAAGCCGTGAATTCCAAAGGTCATTGTTTTAAATCACTTTGTGTTTCTTTGTGGGCTTTCTCGTAGCTTCACTTGGAGCTGTGTCTGGTTCCAGCTCCTTTGCCAGCGCCAGGTTTGGTGTGTGCTCCAAGTTTGTCACTAAACAGGCTGTCTGCACACAGGTGACAAAACACTGGAGCCACACAAAGAGGCCAACTCTGACCCTGACCTGGAGCTGCTGCTGCACCACACTGAACATGGGGACAAGGAGGAAGAGGATGTTGAAACCCCACAACAATGACTGAACATGAAGCACAAAGTCTCTTGCTCTGTTCTTACCAAACCTACCTGATATCTATCTAGGAGGAAAGTCCAAAAGTCTCTGTGACCACCCAAAGGAGAGCCAGGGCCTAGTGAGAGAATTCTGCTGCTCTGCTACAGTGTGAATCTGTAAATGCTGCACAAGAAACAGGCAAAATTCCTTTCACAGGAACTTTGAAGACAAGCCCTGGTTCAGTGGACGTGGAACAGCCCATGAGACACAGAAATGCTCCAGCAAGTCTGTTAGGGGATCCTGAAGGCTGAATACTGTAGACCATGGGCTGTAGAATGAGTGTGGACATACCTGGACTGCAGGCTGAGTGGTTCAGGGATGATTTTACTGTTTTAGGCTTTGGCTTCAAAAGAGAAGGTAGATATACCTTCCCCCCCCTTTTTTTTTTTTTTAAATGTTTCTACAAAGTAGGAACTTCCATCCTGGTGGGAGCAGATGACTGTATAAATCCTTAGGGTTGTCCCAGTGAGAAGGACCCTTTGTGCCTGGTGACCTCCATGTTCTGTGTGCATAGTAAGGAGAGAATTAAATGCTGGTATTTGGGACCAATTGAACCTGCCAAGTGATGTTGGTTGGAGGCAGGATGGGGATGCAGGAGTACCTGTGGTGCTACAGGCCAAGGGGAGAGAGAGCTGTGTCACAGGAGGCCTAACCTGAGCAATAAGCTTATCAGAAAGTATGTGGGGTTTTGAGAGGGGGATTTTTTGTTTTATAAATAAACTGTTTTTCTGATTCCCTTTTGTCTGTGCACTGTGTACCTACGCTTCATGAAGCAGAGGTCATTTGTCTTCTGAACTCCTTTCCTTTTAGAGCTTCACTGACCTTGCTGCTGCATGCCAAATTGTTTCTGAGGCCTGGCAAACAAAACACTTGCCCATGAATAGGATCATTGATCTCTAGAACGAAAACTTCCTGCAGCCTCTCATATTTATGCCAGCCAAGTGAGCATACTGACTTGTCTGCCTTCATGTATCCTGGGAAGACTTTTAATATTATGGCTTTTGTAAGAATCTTCCTTCTTTGCCACGCTGGATTGGATCAGTTAATGCTGCAGCCTTGTCCAGGAAAGAGGGGTAGTGCAGGATTTGAGATGGCTCTTTTTCCTTTCTGCTAAGCCTCAGGTGACGTTGGGCAGGTGGCTGGTTTTTTGCATGGCGGAATTTTCGCCTCTTTGAAAGTTTTGTTCAGTGCTAACTTTTGTACTTTTTGGAGTGGAAATAACTTAAGAGAGCTCCCCCAAGGGATAACAGTGTGATCTTTCTCCTGACAGGAGCTGGGTGTTAAAGGGAACTCCTCGTACTCTGTTTGAGACCTGAACCATTTTAACTAGGCTGTCCCTCTGTAATCTTGCTTCATAGTTTTCAGATATGAACTCTTGATGACTTTAATCAAGAGCATGTCCTGCAAAAAAAAAAAAAAATGGTTCTGAAGAAGAAAAGTTTTGTTATTAGTGATCATCTTTGATGATGTTCTGGTAACTGACTCCAGAGCAGACAGCAGGTGGTGCAGCTTCCTCATGTAAAGCTACTGAACCAGCACTTCCATGCCAGGTTGGCACACCAAGGTATTCTGTGCATCAAGTGGAATGCCTGGAGCTGAGAATGGCTTGGTGTGTCTCTAGCTGGATTTTCCAGTAGCTGGGACTTGTGATGCTTCCAGCAGGATTCACCCTGTTTATCCCACCAAAAGGTGTGAGCCCCAAGCATGAAATACTCTACTTGGTGTGGGGCAGTGGTGCTTTCTGCACGTGATCTGTGTTCAGCCATATCACAGCTGCTTTTTGCAGTTCCCCTTCTACTCTCCTAGAACTGAACCCCAGGCATCCTTCTAGTGTAGAAGGATGGGGTAGAATCTCAGGCTGGGATTTCAGGTCCCTATAAATGCCACAGTAAAGGCAACTTTGTTCCTAAGCCAGAGTTTGCACCAGGTACGGTGCTTGAAGATGAAATCTGACTGTGCTTGTGAACTGTAGAGCCCTGTAGTCTCTTTGCTTCCAATCTCGTTTCCTTTTTAAGACAGAGGTGATGCCCTAGAACTGCAGCTCTGTCCTGCAGCTCTTGGAGCAAATCTTGATTGCCTGCAGTGAGGTGCACCTGACCTTGCAGGCTCAACTAGTGCAAGCAGCAGGTTTAGTGTAGATCAGTGAGCAACATAAAAAGGCTGTGGCAGGGGTCCACGTGGGAACTGGCAGGAAGGGGTAAAAGCTTTGAGATTCTTTGGGAAAATGGCAGTGTTCCTCTCTAGGCAACTCCAGTGGGCATGGTGTGGGGCTCCTTTCTGTCCATATGTTGCCTGGCTCCTCTCCCAGAACCCTCAAGGGCTGATGAGGTGGGTCCTATGTGAGAGGTCACTATCTTCCTGCTGGGGTCAGTTCTTGGAAAAGGTAAGGGAGGCCTCATCCTCACACTTGCTGTAGTCCTGCCTCCAAGCTGAGTCACCCTACACCTGGATGTGGTCTTGCTTGGCAGCAGTGCTGGGTGACTTCTAGAGAACATGGCAGAGTTGTTGGTAAGCTTGGGAGGGGTTGGGTGGGACTGTGCTGGTGCAGGGCAGTGCAGCAATGTTAGAGAAGCAGCACAGCTCATCTGCTGGATACTGTCCATCTTGCTTGAGTGGGCACTAATGTTTAATGAAAGGAAGAAGGAACCCCTGTCCACCCTCTTTTGTCTAAAGAAAAACATCTACTGTGCATTGAAAATGCCAAAAATGGAAAAACAGGCAAAGATGAAGGACTTGGAGGAGAAGGCAGGAGTGCTGCAGAAATCACACAAAGAAAATGAGAAGGCACAGTCTTGTAGTTGATAGTGTTGAAGTGCAGACTGTAGGCATGAAGAGGTAGGGTTGGAATCTGCTGAGGAGACAGGACAGAAGTACAGGGGATGGTAGTGGGAGCTGGGAGTACCAGTAGATTCTGTTTGCCCCTGGAAATAGCCCTGGGTGGCTTTGCAGCTCCTTGGCCAGAGGTAGTCAAGGCTTCTTGGTGTTGCTGAAGCTGTGTGGGGCTTGGATTGATGCAGTGGGCTTGGGACTGGAAACACTGGGGAAACCTAATTGTGTGTGCAGGCACAGGGCCATGTCTCCTGCCCTTAAAAGATCTCTTTGTGCCACACTGTGGTCTCTGTGGCCATCTGAGAGGGGTGGTGAAGCTCACGGGTCATGCAGACCATTTTCTGGCAAGCCCTGAGTCAGGAGCCACTTTAGGGGGTGGGAGAAGTCATTTTCTGTACAGACAATCATTGTGTGCCACAGTTTTTGGTTCTGCCCCCCCCTTTCATCAAGGGAGGTGTGTGAAGGCTGAATGTTCTGGGCTGTTCTGGAGCACTACAGTGCTGGGGAGGGCACACACGTGTGTTTGTGCTGCCCAGACCTTCCCTTTCTGTGCCAGCCCACACACTGACACACAGCCATACCCAGGGAGTGCGGGGCTGCCACTGAATATTGATGGTGTTTGAACTCATTAACCAGCGGAAGCAAAGCTGAACGAGTCTCAGAGGTGCTGCTCTCCTTCCACAAACTCTGTTCCTGCCTGTAAGACCAGGTGTTTACATGTGTGATGATTCTGCCTCTATACCCACTCTCCTGGGAGGCCTCGTTATTTGAAGAACAGATGCTTGGCTTCCTGCTAAAATTTCAATACCATAAACATCCTGAGGGCAAGGAGAAAGTGTCCCTGCAGACCCCTCTGCACTCCTCTGGTTCTCTGCCCAGCAAACAAGGTATGTAACATCAGCAAGTTACTGTGGGAAGCCAGGCTATTTCCAAAACACACAGGAGTAGCCAGGCAGAGCAGCAACACGGGGCCTGGTGCCCAGCAGTAGGGCTGCCTCAAGATGTGCTTCATTTCTTGTGTCAGCTGAACATCTCAGTAGTTTGTATTATGAGGTTTCTGGTTGGTGCCTTGTGAGGTGGGGAAGGGGGAGCTCGGGTGCAGATGGGTAGAAGGCTGGTTACCACCAGCCTGGGGCTGTAAAGGGGCTCACATTCATCTGCAGTCTTTGCAGTGGCAAATAACTGCCCCTGACTCCATACCCCTGCATCTGCACTGAGGCTCTTCTTTTTTTCATCATTGTGGTATGCAGATTTTCATGTTCATAGCCTTGCATCTATGCAGGTTTTTTCTAGGAATTGCACCTACTGTTGTCTTCTCCTCATCACTGTGACACTTCCATCAGCCACCTTCCACACTGCCACATGACCCCTAGAAAGGCAATGAAAGGAGAGGGGTTTGAGCAGAGGAGAGGGGAAAAGGCAGCTGGCCAAGAAACAGCAGAAAACAAGAAAAGTGAATGGTTGGAGATCTCCATCACAGAATGACTGAGGTTGGAAGGGACCTCTGAGGTCATCTTGTCCAAGCCCCTGCTCAAGCAGGGCCACCCAGAGCTGCTGCCCAGGAACGTGTCCAGATGGCTTTGAATTTCTCCAAGGATGGAGACTGTACAACCTCTCTGGGCACCCTGTGCCAGGACTCAGTCACCTCATGGGGAAAAGGTGGTTCCTGGTGTTCAGAGGGAACCTCCTGTGTTTCAGTTTGTGCCTATTGCCCCTGGTCCTGTCCCTGGGCACCACTGAAAAGAGCCTGGTTTCATCTTCTTTCCACCCTCCTGTCAGGTATTTATATACATTGACAAGTCTTCTCTTCTTCAGGCTGAACAGTCCCAGCTCTGTCAGCCTTTCCCTGTGTGTGAGGTGCTCCCAGGCCCTTCATAATCTTTGTGGCCCTTTGCTGGTCCCTCTCTCCAGCATGTCCATGTCTCTTGTAGTGGTGATCCCAGCTCTGGGCACAGCACTCCAGCTGTGCCCTCACCAGTGCTGAATACAGGAAAGGATCATCTCCCTTGACCTGCTGGCAATTCTTTACCTCATGCACCTCAGGAAATCACTCCCTTCTTTGTGGCAAGGGCAGGTCGTTTGCTCACCTGAAGATGCAGGTATGCAGCTAGAGGGCAAGAACTTGCCCAGTCGAACACTGCAAGAGGGTTTGCTGGAGCAGAGAGCTGTCCTGCAAGACCCACACTAGCATAAGTAGCCCTTCCATCTCATTTTGTCCTCTCCAGCCTTGCAGAGCTGGGTAATTGCTTTATCTATCAGAGCTCTTTGCATTAACAGGCGGTAATTGGCACCTGTGTTAAAGAGCCTGGTTTCAATTACTGCTGAATGCAGCTCAAACTCCAGAGCTGGGAGATTACATGGGGGAGGAGCCGTAGTGCTCACGTTTACTCTCTGTCTTTCCACCAGGTGCTCCTCTTTCCCCAGGGATGAAGCATATTTTTTTTTTTTTGCATTTCTTTCTTGTGCCTTGAATCTGCAAAGCAGCCAGCAAGGGCTGCCCGGAAAGCGTGGGGCTGTGGCTCTCGGGAGCTCAGCGCGGGCGTGGCTGGCACACTGCTCCTCTCCCTTCTTCCCCATGTCGATGTTTCTTATAGAAGCCTTTACTGCAAATCCAAACCGAACGGTGGGGCAGCAAGGTGCGGGAGGGAATTGGTCTTTGTAGATAGCGGTGTTCCCCCACCCGCAATCCTGGGAGCTTTCCCGGTCTCTCCCCTCGGCTGTATGTCTCTCTTTTTGGCTTCCACTGCATCAGCTCTTCCCCAGTATGCTGGGCCCAGCCCCCTCCTGCTGCCATTCATCATTTCTGATCCAGTAAATTACAGCACCGTAAAAGTGCACAGGGAATTGTCTTCTGTGTTTTAGAGTCACGAGCCCTTAAATTTCCATTTGTTTAGTGGGTGATGAA